TGAACCGCTGACCTGCTGATCTAGCAGTAGCCTGCAGTGCTGCATTTAACCACTGCGCCACCTTGGCTCTTCTATATAATACTCATACATATTCATTTACATTCAATTTAACTTTCCTCTAAACCAGTGTTTCATTTGCTGGCTGGGGAATTCTGGGAGTTAAAGTCCAGACATCTTCAAGTTGCCAAGGTTGAGAAACACTGCTCTAAACCCTGACATCGACCATTTACTGTCCGCATGAATGAAAAGAACTGAAGGTAGTCACAAAGTAATTTTTACCAACAAGCAAATTTGAGAGCTTGATTCAGTTTGAATAATTAAAATCAATACCGCATAGTTAAATGTACTTTTAAAAGAGCACACTCATCAATAGCACAAGGATTGAAACATTTAGCTGACCTGCAAGAGATTGGCTGAAGAAAAAAAATCCCCAGAAGATGTAAGCATCAAACTGTATGATTTATAACTAATTTTTATACTGCTGACTATCAGAATCAGATGGCAGTATTCCATAAAACAAAACAAAAAATCAGAATAAAACATACTGCAATATCAATTAAAAATTAAATTAGAACTGTCAACAATTAAAAAACAGGTCCCAAAAAAGTATCTTTAATGCCTTTTTAAAGTATAAGCGACTTCAGTTCTCTAATTTCATCAGGAATTGCATCCCCAAAATGAGCAGCGCAACAGAGATGGTACTGAGTGGGAAGAACTTTAGGCTTGCTTTTAGATATATGTATAATTTCTTTGCTTAATGCATTTCTAGTGAAAGTAATTCTTATCAATTAGAATAACTTTCCAAGCAGTATTGAAAAAACACTTTTTCTCCTATTTGGGGGGAGGATTTCAAATTTTGTGCAAATAGCTGCATATATAACAAACTGTAGTACAACCACTTGGGTCAGGATTGCCTTCCTCTATGTCATACTCATGTCTTTTCATGTATATTAGATGTCATGACAACCTACATCCTAGTTCTCCATACTAGAGGTAAGAATTCTAGAAAAAACCATATCTGACTTTATCATGAACTTGGTCTGATCTTTCAATTCCTGGTTCTTCTGCTATTCCTGGTTCTTCTATATCAGGTGTCTCCCACCTCCAGTCCATGGCCTGTTACTGGTCGTGGCTTGTTGCCTGTTACTGGTCGTGGCTTGTTACCAGTCACAGCCCATTGGGAACCGGGCTGCACAAGTGACTGGTGAACTCACAAAGCTCCATTTGTGCACAGCAATAGCACTTAAACTTGTACACCACAGTGTTTTACAGCCCTCTCTAAGCAGTTTACAGGGTCAGCTTATTGCCCCCAACAATCTGGGTCCTCATTTTACCCACCTAGGAAGGCTGAGTCAACCTTGAGCCTGGTGAGATTTGAACTTGCATGCATGGAATTAGATTGCACATATGAAACCATCCCCTCCTGCCCACTGGCACTGCCGCAGTTAGTCCACAGAGCCAGAAAGGTTGAAGATTGCTGATCTATACCATGAACTTCCAGAGTAAGGGAAGTCAGTTCTACCTACAGTATATGGAGTAAGAGCAAGTGACAAGGACTGAAGGATAGGAATGAATGACACAAATATTTTAGGAAGAAACCATTGTGGAATCTTTCTTGACTGGAACTGTAAGGGAGAAGCAACATTGTAACAAGTATTCCTGTTTTTGGAATTCAGGGGTATGTATCCTTTGCCTATGTGTGCTTCTTTGGAAATCATTATAATAATGAATACAGCAGAATCAAATACTTACATAATGTAGGTAATTTAAATTAACATGGAAGACCATATGTCTTAAGTAACTCTACTGATTATTTTAAAAATCCCCACTATTCCCACAACCATAAAATCTGAAGTATTTAATGATGTGGTAAATAAGAGAGCTCTAGAGAAATATAAAGATAGATGCACCTGCTGGCTGATGATTTAAGCTACACTCAGTCCATATGTGATTTTTCCCAGACTGTATTCCCAGCAGTAAGGAGCTTTTTTAAAATATTTCTATGTAGAAACATTTATACTGCAGCCAGTCTTAAAACGATAATGCCCATGGAGTGTAGTATATTAAGCTAAAGACATAAATCAATATGTTGTTCTTTTCAACATATTGAATCATTTACTGGTACTTCCTTCATTTCTATAGCCACCTATCTAATCCAATTGATTCTAGGCAGCAAATCCAGTTTGTATTACCAAGCTTCCCTTGGTTGTTGAAGTAATTATGGGGGGGGAAAACCCGGAAATAAAATTGCAAAGAGGATCTCCATCTTCCTTTTTCTCCTAAAACTATTAAAACTGTAGTATGGAAATACCTACCCAATTTGTGCAAAGAGAAGCAACAATGAATACTGTAGATATGGTCTGTGGGATTGAAGAACATTTCCAGGAAGGATTATGACAATGATCTAATTTGCTTTGTGTTCCACTCCATTTAACCTGCTATTTTCAATATTCTTCTCAGGCTAACCTAGGTATGTACTGCATGGTATATACACCCACATGCACACATATCTGGATACAAAGAATTTGTCCTGATGATTAATTTCACTTTAATTAGCCTGAATAGAAAATTGGATACATTTACTCAAAGATATTAGAGAATTTTTTTCAATATAAATGAAAACATAGCATTTAGCAGCTCAAGGGAAAGCAATATGAATTTAGAACCATCAACATCGGTTCTAAAGCATTCTTTCCAAGAAAATACTTGCACTAGATGTATTTCTATGGATGTTAAGACTGGGAAGAGGAAAAGTCAGTATTCGAAAATTGTAATGAATTTTTAAAAACTGAACAAATGATAGCTCATGGAATGGTTAACTTCTTTAAACGCCAGGGGCAAGTTGAATACATAGAATGCACACTTTCATCCTAAAACTGATTGACAGAGACTATAGTGGCAATTGCAAGAGAGCATATATCTCTTTCCCTGAATAAGAAGTTCTAGGGCAAAGCAATTTAAGAACTAACAGCTCCTAGTTGTCAGTAGCACAGGTGCATTACTTAATAAAAAGTTCCCCAGGTGTGGTACACAGCCAGTTTAGTGCAGTAGTGAAGGTATTTGGTGAGCTTAGTCCTATTTCAGACACAAAAACAGCTGGGTGACCTTAGGCCTATCATACACACCAGAGGTGGGTTCCTACCAGTTTGGACTGGTTCTGCCGAATAGGTAGTAACTCGGCCTACCACACCCCTGAACCAGTTCTATTGTCGGCAGCGCCATCTTGATTTTTGGCATGCGCAGAACCATCTTCATTGCAAAATATTATTTTTTCCTTTTCTAATGTTGTGCACATGCACAGACCTTTATATGTGCAAATGTGCACACGCGTGGAGCAAAAACATTTTTTTGTGCGTCGAACTGGCAGTAATGCCATCAGGAACTACTTCTGACGCACACTCAATCCTATACACTCTCAATCCTAGAAAAAAGACTAGACCAGGGGTGTCAAACTTGTGTTGGCCATGCCCACCCCCATTTTAGTAAAGGGGGGAAGTCACGATGCCACATGATGACAATGTGACACCTCAAGTTTGATACCCCTGGACTAGACAAACATTTTAAAAAAACACTCGCTAAGAAAACTGCAAGGATCTGAGCAGGCAGTCACCAGAGTCAAGACTGACACACACAAAGGTCTCAGGTGAGCTTCAGGTGGAAGGTTGAAAGTCTTTATAGGCCAGAACCTTNAGACTTATATACCGCTTCATAGGGCTTTCAGCCCTCTCTAAGCGGTTTACAGAGCCAGCATATTGCCCCCAACAATCCGGGTCCTAATTTTACCCACCTCGGAAGGATGGAAGGCTGAGTCAAACCTGAGCCGGTGAGATTTGAACAGCCGAACTGCTGAACTGCAGTCAGCTGAAGCAGCCTGCAGTGCTGCATTTAACCACTGCACCACCTTGGCTCTTATTACAAGGAACACCCAATTTATTACATTCCTTAATAATTTCTCTAGCTTCGTGTATGCATTTGGTTCAGTATATTATTTCTCATTAGACTGAAATAGAAATTTATCTAAATGATGAGAGGTCAAGTTCTATGACATTTCATAATTCAGAAGCCAAATGAAAAATCTCCAGAAACTTCCTCTAATAGCTGTTCTCGGTTCTTTCTCCTAGTTTTCTTCTATTTAACATTTAGCATTAAATAACGAAGTCAAATTATTGCCTGTCTGGCTATGTCTCACACCGTTAATTTCATGCTTACAATAACTGATACTGAATGTTTTTTGCCATCTTTAAAGAAAAGGAAAAGTGGGGGAAAAATCTTCATGAAAAATTAACATATATTTGTATATGAGACTAAATGAGCATATTCATTTAAAAAAATGTTTTAAAATGTATGGCGATAGGCTTACATATGTAACTTTCCAATAGCCTTCCATACTTTGGCCCAGGATTTTTCATTGCTACACCGTAACTTGTGAAACCTTCAGGTGTGTATCTAAAAAGGCTTGTACCTAATAACAGCAACAACAAAACACAGGTAGTCCTCATTTAGTGACTGCCTCAGAAAGTGACCACATGCAGTTGTGAAAATGATGAAAAAGTAACTTTGTGACCAATGTCCACATTCATGATCTTGGAGTGCTCTCTGTTGGTCATGTATTTGCCATTACAGTCAGTTAATACACATCGTCTTGTGTCTTTTTTCCCCCTCCTTTTCCTCTTGCAGAATGGTGAGCTTGCCTGAACAAGGTACTGTATTTATTCTTGAGCTGCTTTTCTCTGCAGCCCAGTGCATTCCTAAAAAGTGCTAACTGCAAGTTAACCAGCTCAGTTCTGTGATCTTAATTAGTTGATTAGAATATACTGCAGGCAGGAACTATGCCTGAAACTGACAAGTTCCTAATCAGTTTCACATTAAACACTTTTGTTTGCCTCCTAAGTGGCTCTCTCCAATGTGTGTTCCCCATTGTGTTTACTCTCTTATATTCCCCTTATATTTATATATATTGTCTTCCAATATGTATAAATATAAACACCAATTTCCTTCTTGCTAAATATCACAGGTCCAGGATGTGCATTCCAAAGGAGAGAGTCAGGAAAAAGAGCTATGTGATTTGTCCTTTTATCTAGGTTCCTCCTGAGTCAAGTTCTGAAAACCCACCCAGCTGTTTGAGGTTGTATTCTTCTGATGCTGTAAAAAAGAGGTGGGGAACTGTGGCCTTTTGTGACTTGTTGACTTCAACTCCCAGAATTCAAATCCATGCTAGCTCAGGAATTCTGGGAGTTGAAGTCCACAGATCATAAAGGAGCCATAGTTCCCCAGCCCTGCTTTAAACCAAAGGAAAGCTGAAGTAATATTGTTAGCACAGTCATGGTATTTTTCATTTAGGGATCACTTCATTTAAATAACCAAGATACCAGTCCCAACTGGATTCACATAATTAACTTCTCCTCTGCTCATCATGCCGCTCCATATTTCTCCTTCAGAATATATTATGAACAATAGACAAAACAGAACCAAATGACCCAACTGCTTGTTAATCCTGATTAGAAATTTAAAATGAACATTTCTAGGGGTGGGTTTCTTTTTTAATTTAAACTCATGTAAATCACAATACAGAAAACAAAAAAAGTAACTTTTCTTTCTACTGATGTTAAGTAAACTTCCTTGAGAAACGAACACTTTTATCATAGGGAGGAATAATCAAACACAAAATCATTAAACTGGACTTTCTAACTGTAAGCCTATGAAGCTAGCCTTCTTTTGATGAAATGTGGGAGAGGAAGGAGGGGGGGAAGGATGGACAGACAATTCAAAGATTTTCCAAGATGCTCATGATTCTGATATTGAGCTGCATGCTGTTATCCCGACTCCTAGTGCTTTCTGCATGGTTTGGCCTCTTTCAGACCTTTAACCCTGAACTTTGGCCCAAAGATGTACTCCTATCGCTGATTCTGAAAAGTAAACTTAAAACCAAATCAGGTTTTGCTAAGGAATATAACCAAGGGCTGCACCTGGCACATTATAAAAGATTTGTTTTCATTTAAATATTGTCTTTAACAATAATAATTAAATATGGAAAGTTTGAATATAGTTAAGTGTTCTCCTAGCAAGATCTTACCTGTACCTGTTGAACAATCTCTGTATCTTCTGTCTCTGTTGCCTCAGTAGCAGCTTCAGGTTCTGGATTGGGAAGTAAAATTAAGGCTTTTCAGGGATTACATTTTTACATTTTAATATTCTTAGTATGTTCATTTCTGCTTCTACTGCTGGTATAATAAAGGACGTCAAGGGCACATCAATTGTTAACACTACAATCAATTATTCTACTGTGTTTCCCCTAATACATAACCCACCCACCCCCAAAAAAGGCCAAGCACTGTTTTGAGCACATGCATTAAAATTAAGCCCTACCCCCAAAATTTGGCCCTGTTTAAGTGCAGGCTTGCCGGAGTGGATGACGGCAGTCTTTTTCGGGTGGATGGCAACCAGTAGCTGGAGTGACTGTTACAGGTAGGCAAGGGTGCATGGTTCTTTTCGGCCACAAAAGAAGCCGCCCAGTGACCAGGCGAGGCACATTGGGCGAGTGGGTCAGTCCTTTTATCTGTGAGAGAAGCGGTCCGGTGTCCAGGAGAGGTGCGCAGGGGGAAAATTAAGACACACCTCGAAAAGAAGGCCTAAGGTCTAAAGAAAATAAGACCTGGTTGTATTTTCGAAGGGTAGACAGTTGTTGCCCTCTTGTGAAAAAAAAATGCTCTTCAGTTGTTTTAAATCACAATATTTTCTACTAAGACAATTATTTAAATTGGGTATGACATTTTCTAACTCATTAAGTCATATAATACTCATACATATTCATTTACATTCAATTTAACTTTCCTCTAAACCAGTGTTTCTCAACCTTGGCAACTTGAAGATGCCTGGACTTCAACTCCCAGAATTCC